TTTTGAAACAATTCTTTAAGTAGCCCCTTTCTTTCAGCTTTTTCCCTTTCTGGTGTACATTTCGCACTATTAAGTAGACAGAAATCATTCAATGATATGGGTAATCTTTTATTCCAATGGCGTCACTCTTTACACCATTACTCCAATACACCATTACTCTCTGCTCCATTACTCTATACACTACTAATCTGTATATCATTACTAGATGAAAACCTGATTTTCCAATATTTCTCGAAATATTCACAGTACGTGTTAAAATGATTTCTTGATTCTATCATTTCAGACGGGAGTATGATTACAATCAATGGAGACGTAGAAAATCTTTGCTTGGAACTTCAAAGGTGGTACATAATGAACTTTACAATCCCCGTGCGCTTGACAATGACAATGACCGCGGTCCGACATCTCCTATAACTAAAATACGAAGAAGCTTATTCAACACTAGTAAGAGAATAAAGCACGACCCTAACATACAGTCCAAGTCATCAAAGACGCAGAATGTCAAGGAAAGTGAAAATCCAAACGCTATTTATGCGGTGGTCAACAAAAAGAAAACCAACAAGGGGAAGCTGAATTCAAGAAGTCCGTCTGTCAGTGATAGTGCAGTGTCTCAAACTGAACATATCGCCAATAATACCATTGACAAATCTGGAGATAACACACCGGGTACCAAGGAAGATAACTCAAATAACACACAATTCAACGATCTTTATGATTCATTCGTTAAGTCTGTGTCATATTCTAAAACTGATAACACATATGGCCATCTCCATACAGTGAATGATAAGTAAGAGGGGCGGAAATAAGCAATATATTTCAACGTTCATTTTCAACGCGATGTTTCCTAGTGAGGACATTGACTGAATATGTGCATTTTAATTGAGACCAAACAACGTTATAAAATTGTTGGTAGATATTTTGTCACTTTTGAGACTGGCCTGTACAGATATATGAATGGTCATAATCTCACTCTACCTATTATTTGCACGGGGCCATCATTAATGAACTGTTTTATCGATGTGAAATGGTTAATTAGTGTAACTTATCAAAGCCTCAAATTTTGCCATGAAAACTCTGTGGAGGCTTCCTTGCGATATAGCAGGCTTCGCCTGAAATTCAATATATAGGGTTGAAGATGGTATATGTAATGGTTTCAGGATGAATGATCAGAAGTACTTGTAAATGTGCGTTTTAATTGAGAGGGTGAATGGAGTTGGTAAGTCATACAGGGAAACATTCTAGTCGTGTGATAGTATTTAACTAAAACATGTCCTTTCGTTAAAATGACCAAAGTTAATTGCTGTGAATCATCATTGAGTATTGAAATGATGTAATACAACATAGATCGTGCTGTTTAAACTGTAGTCAGATAGCTCAAATACAACATAGATCGTGTTGTTTAAACTGTAGTCAGATAGCTCAAATACAACATAGATCGTGTTGTTTAAACTGTAGTCAGATAGCTCAAATACAACATAGATTGTGTTGTTTACACTGCAGTCTGAAATATAACATTGTGCTGTTAATGCGTTAGTCATAATACAATATACAATGTGCAGTTTCAATGAAAAAAATATATATCCATTTTCCTACAGGCTAGAGGATTCAATACAAAAATAACCTAGGCGTAATTGATTTAGGTAGATTACGTCTTTTTCGGGCATAATATATATCGTTTGTATAATTTTGTTGATATCAATCAGCCAGTTAAAGTCAAGTTATACAAAAGAAAATTGGACATGCGCATGATTAGACTGATACCAAACGGAACCAACATCGGGTGTTCTCTCTCATTTATCACACACAATACCTACGTAAAACCATCAACTGGTGTCGGTCACTCTCCAAATTGGGATAGAAAAATGTTTTATCATGTTTAATTAATTTTTGAAGATTAATTAATAATATATACGGAATACATAGTTAATCGACATGATTATTAGAATATCGATAATCACGACAGACTCTAAATGTGCTACTACTGAGAAAGGTTGCAACTAAGGAATCCAAAATGTCGAAGTGTAACACTAAATTACATTAAAAGACCTTACATAATTTCAAACTGTGTAATTTCAATATCAGATTAATGTAATAACCTGTCATTTGCATTGTTGGGTAGACCGACACGTTCGCATGCGATAAATGTATAGCGACTACACATATATGCTATTATAAAATTAAATATATTTAATATTCATAAATATAAGCATAATTTCACTTTTGAATTACTAGCTTCTTGCAAAGAGAATTCACTTAGTTATTATCGATGTATTAGACGATGTAAAATATCCGTTGTGATGTAATAAGGACAAAGCAGGAAATGATGGCGATGTGAAGAGAATGCAGACATTGTGTCGGATTTTTTTGTAATTATTTGATCAATAAGTATGTTTTTATTTCATGTGGTTCCTTGTCGTATATGTTCAATTGAATTTTAATATCATTATAAATTTCATAATAATTTAAAATTCTTAATATTTTCTTGTTCTTTGTCAAAGATTGTCAACAACAGAATAAAAACAAAATGAAAATATATTAAAGAGACAACTCGTCTTTTATCACTTTTTATTCCAATCTCAACAAGTTTTAAGATCGGTCAGTTTAATTACTGATTTAAATGTGTAAATAATGAGTGTATTCATAAAAAGCTTTGCATGGATGAGTACCTGTACACCTTAGACTTCCAATAGTGTATAGACTGTGTTTTCATGATCAAAAAATGTTACACAGAGTGTGATTTTCAGGAGGGCTCGAAAATTCGGCAAGATTTTGGAGACATTAATTAATCCTTATCCTTAATTCGATCGTGTATTAGTCAACTAGGCAATTTCATGAAAGGCACCAATTAAATTTTCACCTGCACACGAGATGCTTTCTCCATTATTACTTTACATTTTGTGTTTTATGATTTTGAGGCGTGTTTTGAAAAGGATGCCTGTGGTTTTAAATTTCAATAAAAAAAATCATATTTTTTTCTTTCCTCGAATCTTATGACTTCGTTTTGTATGTTATGTTACTGAGAAAACTAACTTTTAATGTTAATTATGGAACATGTGTACATTAATGATCACTCTCACGTTATAAAATATCGTACATATTGTACCACACTCTAGGACCTCATGTTTTATCATCTGTAATCGCACATGTATTTTCGTTATTAATGAAAATAATAAAAAGAAATAAAAAAAAAAAAAAGATAGATAAAACAATGCGTCAGTTTTAGCTTGATTGCTACATGGTATATCTAAATAGATATACTGGATATATTGAAAAAATTCTTTATTTTTAGCATATCAAGACTGGTAGTGTTTATCAAAATGTTGAATTGTTGAATAAAAACAAATGTTCCGCCGTGATGATTTCTAGCATTCATACACATGTTGCTATTTTATGATTAAATAAATTTCCAACCAAATCCCATATTACTTTATCAAACTCAGGTCATAAACAACTGTATAAAAGGCAACACTTTCTATTTATTCTTTGTATCCACAGAAAATCACATGGTTTACCCACTTAGCAGTGCGGAAATGAAATCATTCTAGCATGATATAGAGAGAGTACGGTCAAGTTGGCTGTAATTTAATTTAATTGATTTCTCGGAATGTTCACTTCTAATACTTAACATTCAAGTGTTGTCTATGTTAGCCGATTTATACAAATTTAATGTATGAAAACAAAAACAAAAAACATGACATCTCGTGACTACATATCGTCAAATATGTATATAGTTACCCTTAGCAAGCTTTCCATAGAAAACTGCTGCATTTTGATATTAAATGGTTTCATTAGTTTGAAAACTAGCACCAGACTGACGGAAGAAGACGTCTACCAATCACGTCGGCACAGAATTAATAACGAAAGAAGTTTATTGACTCAATCCATGATGTATGGCATCGAGTGCGGTACACGTTGTTTCGGTACCTGGAGAAGTTCTGACGAACGAAGGGCGGTAACTCTGTGATATCAGAATGCATTCAATGTCATATTTTCAGTTAGATAGATTGGTAGATCTCGAACATTCATTTATGAATACTGTGAAAGCATGGAAAATCCGTTCCAGATAGTAAAAGCACAAGCGTATGAAGAGATGAGGAAAGCAGCACCATGAAAGATGACTGAAATTATATTACATGTTATCTCATACACCATACATTGCACAAAAAGTAGGTACACTATACCATCCATTTATTTTGAAAAAATAACACGTACTTGTATAGTAAAAACACAAACGAAAGTAATTTTGCGACTCCAATCTTGATATATTTCGTATTCCATATTTCATTAATCCAAATAATGCTCAAAGAGTACTGGAGGCGAAGAAAAGTAAACACTAAAATAACAAAAATCATCTCGGCGGAATTCAATTGTATGCTTAAGCATACAAATATACATTATTGCTACGCCACTTTATGTACTGACCGGCTTGATTTGTTTTAAAACTATCTAATGTTGTTGTAAAGCACCACAGGTAGATCTTAAATTCAATTTTACATGTTCGAAAGTCACTAAAACGGTATCAAAACATGGTAAAACAAGACAATGTAAACTGGAAACGATAACCAAATAATGGATGTTAACATACAAACCGACACGTGTTAATTGATCCCGCTGGTATATGGCTAGGGGTTGCGTCGAATCTCCTGAAAGTAAGTGATTAAACGACAAAAAGAGGTCGAGATACTACGTTAAACAGGAAAATTAAGGTTATGACCTTTCGAAAACGTGTCATATGAAAGATGTATTTATGCGGAGAGTTCATGAAAGTTATTTATTTTCTCGAAAAATTAATATTTTCACAATTGTATGATTTGCAGTTTTGGTTTACGTAAAACGACAAGTGTTAAATATGAATATAAGAAATAAAATCGACTGATGAAATAATGGAAGATGAATGTTGTTGAAACGACAGTGTTCATTTTCCGGAACTATTGTCTCGTACTTTTTTATTTTTACTCATATACGCTAGCTTCCGGTATTGAAAACGAATCGAAAGCAGAGTCATCACTTGACGTAAAAACATCTGATAGGACACTGACACGATAGTGACTACACCATGGAGTGGTTCCCTGGCTCCATACCACAGGCTATACAGACAGCTAAACAAAACAATGCACTGTTTGTTGTTTACGTGCGAGGTCAGTAAATTATTAATGTGGTACCCAAATTTAAATGTAATTATCTACTGGTGTTTACACTCTGGTGTTAGAATTGTATGGGGGCTAACGTTATACAGCTCACAATCCAGACCTTCCCTGAACTCCCTCCGTACTGAAGAAAATGGCCATGTTATTAGATCATATCAGAGCACCTAAAGAACTAGCCTCGTCTGACAATACCCATGATAATGTACACGTATTGTTTTATTGTGGCTATATGACAAACGAGACGACCACGTGTACATTCACAACGCAAAACTAGTGCGTATATGCAATGTACATATACAGTGAGGACTAAGAAGTTTCGCGTTAGTTCTCAGATTTATATTCCTTTGGCAACATGTGCCCGTCTCAAGACAAAAAACATACAAAATCAATGTTACATGTTAAAAATGAATTAAGCAACTGAATTACACTATTTTGTAACAATAACGTTTATCTCCTAAATTGAAGTACACTGATGTTGAAGTACATGAGTCATATCAAGTGCAAGATTACATATGTAGGTGAATGTTGCAACAAAGCTACACGTATGATAGCTTTCCATACTGAAGTACTTGTTGTTCCCCGATATTTAACAACAACAAAAATCACACAAAATATAGATAATTACAATTGTACAGTATTCAGGATAAAGGACACATGAAATATGAAGCCAAAGTCATTAGGCCAAAATAGTTTACATGTGTATTTCTGGGGGGAGTTGGTGTACATGTAAACATTTAGATTTTGTTATTTCATTTAGGAATAATCTTAAATGCTGTATTAGGTCTTTGTTTTCTTTTCTTCTTATTACATGTTCACTATACATCTCATTTATCACTATATTTGGACACAGAAAGTCAAACACAGTTGACAAAATATAGGGAATGACAACTTTTGACCTTTGCCCTGTCTTTGCATCAAATTTGAATCTATGCACTCAGTAACTTTCACTCTACATGTATGTGTATATATGAATAACTCTGTGTGTATGATTGGTACTAGCTTTGTGACATTAAGTACAATTTTCAGGTAAAAATGAAGATACCGAAAAGATGGATGATGTCTGGAAAGAGGAAAATGTGATATCTACCTGTAAATCCAACAAATGTACTGTTATTAAGATACAAGGAGACAGGTAAATTATTCCCTAAGATATATAATCTTATCAAAGAATAACATGTCTGTAGTTGAAGCAATTTATTGGGCTTTGTTTTTGTGCCCAGGTAACAAGATGACTGGTGTATTAATAGGATGTCACTAAGGTTAAAAGATGCAATATGTACACAAAATGTATGTGTTATTTTATGATAAATGTAATAAAAAGTTTATGAATAAACGTTGTAAATATAGACATATGCAGGATACAGAGAAACAAATTAATTAGGAATACAAGCTGCTTCTCCTAATGATAGGCATACATAATTGATAATTGTATATGTATCTTTCAATTAATTCTATAATGTTGAAGTCTTTTTATTAGTGGTTTTTGTTTGAATAGTTCAGGTAATACCAAAACACAATTTTCATTTTTTTTTTTTGCCAACATACATTGCTCAGGTTTATATGTTTAATTTTCACATAACTTATAATTTTCATGGGTCAAAAGTTCTAAGGTTTTCTTGTAAAAATATTTCACTTTTTTTATTCAATTAAAAGTTCACGACCTTGATGTAAAGGGTATATAATACAAAAGTGTCTCATTATTTCACACATCAAATTTTCATGATCATGTTAATGCACCAAGGAAGTAAGTGGCTAGATGATAATTGGTCAAGTTTTTGGTAGTGTTTTAACAGAAAAATGTCTGGGAGAAGGGTAAAAATAGTAGAAATATCTCCTATACTGTGTCTGTTTGAGAAGACAATAATGGATCTCTTAACAAATTGAATGTACTCAGATAAAAAATCTTCCTATGATTATGTGAGAATAAAACAAGACAAAAAGTTTCAAAATGCCACTGATATGAAATAGTGTTACCAAATTATTTCTATGTCATAAACGTAACACATAATGCTTTTATCCTGTTATTTCTTTCAGTCAAGAAGGAAAATTCTTTGGAGAAATTTGTATCCTTTATGATGTATGTAGCAAATATTTATATTTACAGTTAGATACTGATGTACATTGTAAATTTTGTACATGTATGAACAGGGATAGATATTAAGGTAAACTTTTAGATGTAGATAATTTACATACCTGGTACTGTAACATTATGAACGATGCAGACATTTTGTAAATTATAAAAATCAGGAGTTTAATTAGGTTTGTGTTTTATCATTACATCATGTACATTTACCACAGTGCTCTCCCTTTTCACACACCAATACTTTAATAGGTCTACATGACAATTTATAGTGAACATCTAAGTGAAGGTTTTGCAACTTTGATCATTTGAAATTCCATTAATATAAGTATATCTATCTGTATAATTAGGAAAATAATACTTTGACAAACACTCCATATCTCACTTGCTGCTGGCTGGTGCAGACCCGATGTACTTTGTCATGAAAGTAAGATCCAGTTTAACTGTTGTTATCCAAAACCTTTATCCTAGTCAGAATCTGATCCCTGGTCACAAGGAAAAGGACGGCACAACATTTCTTACCTCGTCAATATTAAGGTATATGTTATAAGATGAGGGAGTGATCAATCTGTCCTTGTGGTTATGAGAACTACATAATTTGATATATATTTCCTTTGAATTAACACGTTATATCTTAGGTGTGACATTTGTCTGAAATGATGGTGAATGAATTGGCTGTGCTTTTTTTTTCATTTACAAAATCTTAACTATACCTCAGACCCCATACTGTTTTTACCCTCTGCCTACTTCATTGGGCCAAATGGAATACCTTTAGAAATCACTGGAGGACATGTTGAATCTGATGTATTTATACAGAATATCAACACAGCACAACAGGTAAATAGACATACCAATAAAAGTAAAATAAACTAAAATAATTCATAAATGGTAACAATTAAGAAACAAGCTATATCAATTTTGTGTTATCACTCTTGTTTACTGGTTGTAAGGGTATAAGAAGTGTTCATTTTGGAGGGAATAACCAGATAACCCAGGTCATACACAGTCCATAAATCAAACCCAGATCACTTTGATGAGAGACAAGTCTGCTGTTGTACTTGACTCTCCTTACTTCACTCTCTGCTGTATATATTGTAGGATACTAATGAAATCACTCACAGATTTACAGAATGTTTTGGTTTCAAACGGAATCTGTCTGTAAAATTTCAAAATAATTTGATTGAGTTCTGGTCTCATGAATTGTTATGAGTGAATGAAGTAATAGGACAGCAAATGTTCACCCTGTTTCTTCAGTGAACCATATCATATGCTTTGATCCCAGCCAACGGAAATGATTACATGTAGTATACATGTAAGTTGCTATAACTTGTTTTACAAGTGTTGTAAACCAAGATAAAGTCTGACATTTAATATTTATTTCATCATTCAATTTTCAACATATTAGAGAAAAATGTTAAACTGATGCCCTTTTTTTCTCAGTAATCCATCATTTGCATTTTTTCTGTCAGAAACTGCAAGATAATATCAGTAAACAGCGTCCTGCTGCACCAGCTGCTGCTGCACCAGTTGCTGCTGCTTCTGAGCCCGTACCAATGGAGACCACCTCTGCTACAGACAGCCAACCTGTAGAAAAACCACCAATTGAGGAGAGGATAGCAGTGTAATTTGATTTAAATTTTATTTAATTAGTATACAGGTATATGTTTACAGAAAGCATGACTGATTAGCAGATTTTTTATGAATTTTATCATAAATTTTATAGTTCACTTGGCCAGAGGCCTGTGAATTGAATATTTTTATGGCTGGTCTCATAAAATTTATTTAAATGGAAATTCATGGAAAGTCGTTAAGGTATATTTCGTGGGCCTATGTTTTACCTATTTACTATTTAGTAATTTGACCTTTTTTTCTGACAACAATGCACATAAGTACAACATTCTATAGGCTTGAATAGCCCTTTCATAGCATAGGGGTTTGTTTTTTTTTATTTTGAGTAAGGTATGACATTGGTTACTGTAAACCACTTAGATTTTGTTAATACTTTATTTAGCAAACTTACCTGTTCAGACATATTTGCGAATACATGATTTTGCGACTTTAAATGTGTGAATGATGAGCTCTTGGTGACCAGAACTCTTCAAGACTCTGGTATCTTTAACCAAATTAGCACAAGCTATTTTTGTACAAAAAATTGTGAGGGATTTTAATTCGCAAATGACTCTTCTCACATATTAGAAGGAAAATAAATCCCACACGAAATACAAGTGATTTACAGAAATAACCACAGCACTCTAAATCTAGTATTCATATACTCCTTTTTTTAAACATCAATACCCCAAGGTTACAATGTTGCAGAAGGTATACAAATACTGTTGTCATTTCAACTGATGTGATACATCATTTGAGACTCAGAAAACTTAACCCTTATGCTGCACAATCCAAAACTCTCCATTATTGAGAATTTGTGAAATGAAATGGACAGAAATGTCTAGCAAACATTCTAACACTAAACCTGTAGTCATGCAGGCACATGTAGAGAAGCGAGATCAATGGAAATGTTAATATGGAGAGAGAGAGATTAATGAAAAGGTTAATAGACGTGTGGCATTGAATGGGAATGGAAGATGGGTCATACTACATTGTAATTGGTCTTAACAGAGTATTATTGCTTAAGGTCATACAGAAGATATCACACAAACATAAACCTTCAACAAAAATATGTTTCACTATCCAGATAGTAGCAGGGTTAAAGTGGCTGCTTTTATTTCGTATGTAGGGTCAAAGAAAAAATGGAGCAGAAAAGAACAGAAAAACTACAGAAAGAAAAGGAGGTTAGTATATGTCTTGTTTCATACTGTCAATTATATACTGACAATTTTCATAATAATTTCCCTCTCTGTAAATTTTCTAATTTTGTGAAAGGCAATTAAATGCAGTGGATGCAGCATGTACTTAATGCCATTAAGTTACATGAAATTTCCACAGTGCCAGAATTGTTGGTTATTTTCACAGCAGGTTTATTTTCATCAATGGCAGTTGTCCTCACATTTTTGTAAATGTCTTTCAACCATATTCTCAATGAAAATGATAGATACAGGGACAAAGCTGATCAAAATTAGTCATGAAAATTTGTATCTTAAGTTAAATTGAAGATAAGTACTCTGTGATAACCTTATATCTGTTGTTGTTGGAATGTTGTTAGAAATTTCAGTATATGTTAACAGTGTTTTTTACCATCTGTTTTAAAATACATGTACCTTGAACTTTTCTGTAGGATGCTAAGTTGAAAGAAGAAGAGCGACGAAAATTAGGGAAAGATTTACACAAACTGAAACAATACCAAGAAGACAGACAGAGGAAAGAGCTGGAGGATGAAATTAAGAAAGACAGAGAAGAAAACAAGAAAATGAGAGAGAAAATAAAGGAACAAATTGCTAGAGATAGGTACTGTAAAAATGAAGAAAGAAAATGTTGAAAACATGTTTGCTAGAATCTTTTTCATTGAAGTGATAGAGATAGATATTTGAAACTGTGGATATTTTTGAAGTTTCATGCTAACCTTAAAAATCTTGGTTCTGTGGGTTGAGATGTCTTTGTTCATATTGCGTAGAGGTGATTAAACAATGGAATCTTCTATATTTTTGTGATGTCAACAGAGATATTTCAATTAGAGGATTAAGTTTTTAATGTGTCATGCTAAACTTTAAAAAGTATTATTTTGAGGATTGTGATATCATTATAAACAGAGGTGAATGGCTATTTTTTTCTTCCACATTTCCTGTTTTTTAATATATTTCATACATAATGACTATATGACTGATGAAATATTCATCACAACTGATGACATTGATATCCAGCTTTGGCATGTTCAAGCTACATAAGTGATGATGCAACCCATTGTGATTGGAGAAGTTGTAAGAAAAAGTGTTTGCTAGTTGTCTTTTACTTAAGGAAAAACATATCTATATTTCACCTCTGAAAGAAGGAATACACTGAGAAATGTGAGAGAAAATTTACTCCCAATTTAGTTTTGACGGTAATATTTCTTGGCTTGCATGAACACAATAGGATTGGCTGGCTAGACAAAGGAAATCAGTGAAAGGCTGTCATGTATCATTATTTTGATATATTTTTCAAGTTGCTATTTCAGCCTGCAGTGTATCTAGCAATGCCTTTAATGATGTTACCTAGATACTTTGTTGCATGTTTTGGTGATTTAAATTAGATATAAGCCACACTTTATAGCATCAAAAATGAATTGAAGTGTCAGGGTGACAATGATGATTAGGATGTGAGTGAATGTCGTTAAGGTAATAGTGACGAACCAAATGTAATGTAAATACCTTGTGTCATATACTCATGTACTCTGTGTGTTTTTGGAAACATATTTAAGAAAAGAAATAATTAAAGAAAAAAATGGGAAAAAAATGACGATTACTGCATTAAAAAGTGATTTTAATACTGAAACAGGAAGAGTTTGAATTGAAGATTTTTAGAACAAAACATCACTCCGTTACTGATAAGTAGAATGCTCTGACTTGTAGAGAGGAAAAGGCACAGTTGTACAAGAGGAAGAAAGAGGAGCAGGATAAAGAAGCAGAGGAGAAAAAGAAAGCTAAACTACAGGCTAAACAGCAAGCAGCAGCCATGGAAAATGCTAGGCGAAGGTTAGTGGTCACCTTTAAACGAGTGATGGGACTATTATTAGATCTAATGGATCAGCTAAGGGTTTAATCTCAGCTGATGATAAATTCTAACTTTTCTATCAACAATAAATGGTACTTTAATATTTTCAGTTGTTATAGCTTAAAGAAATGTCATTGTGCTGAATCAAGATGTCAGTTGGCAGTATATTTCATTATTATGCAGATTGTAAGTAAGTGAGGCATTTCAGGTTATAGTTACAAAAAAACTAAAAATATCAACTCATTGGAGAACACATTCTGTGAATACTGAACACAAAATCAGTCAATTATTTATCTGATTAACTACATGAAAAACGATTTTAACCAATTTCCCATCACTTCTTTAAACTCAATTAAACATCCTTCATTGTGGAAAACATATTAGCTGTGAATAAATATCCAGAGTTGACATTGCAGTCGTCCCTCAACCTGTTTCACATAAGGAAGACAACACTGAAATCATCAATGTAGAATCTTATGTAATATTACATTATTATTAGGATAGTAGCTATAACATAAAGGTGTTAATTATGCAATATATAATGTTTCAGGGGCCTTCATTGATTCATCATAGCTGAAATTAGTTATCTTATTAATCTTAAATATAGTAAATTGTAATAAAATCAAAAGTGAAAAAGTAGTGATCAGAAGTCCTTCATGATAAGATATATGTAATGTAATGTGTAAATCAATTGATAACGTTACCATACAATTAAATCCTTGCTTGATTAAAGACAAAAAGACCATTGAGAATTTCAAGTTACAAATTCACACCCATTTCCTTAAGTGTTAAGCCATTTATGTAGCTTTAAAACAAAGCACTGCTATATTGCCAACTTTAGTACAGATTCATTGTGGCATCATATGGCTTGAGAAATATCTTGGAAAAGAATTATGATCACGGAAGAAAATAATGATTACCTGAAGGTTTGGTGTAAGAGTTGCTTTATTAGCTAACTGGTATGTTTTGAGTTTTTTTTTCAAAATATCTATATTGAAAATGGGACACTTATAATACATTTTTGGTAAGTGCCGATTTAAAACATGATAATGGTAAGTGGTTTCAGTGAGATGTGAAATGTTAACCACTGTATATACATTCTCCTTAGCTCTAATTCTAATGAAAGGTGATGTTGGTGTGATTTCAGTGAGAAGGCTCGACTACAAATACGCCTACCAGATGGGTCTTCTATCTCTAACATATTTGACCCCTCCGACACTCTTGACACCGTCCATCAGTTCATCACAGCTGTAAGTATTAAATACATACTGTTTGTTGCTCATGAGTTAAGAGCGGGTAGGTTTATAAAACTTTTTTATAAGGTATGTTGCAGAAATGGTTTTAATATTTCAACATCACAAAACAAAAGTTAGAACCATAACAGAATTGTTATTATTAAATGAAAAAAAATTTATGAATTGAGTAAAACGGTTAATGTCACAGTCATTAAGATTGGTTATTTAGAAAGAATCTTATGAATAGAATAAGGAAAGTTAATCTTGTCCTCAGTTTTGCTCCATCAGAGTAATACAGGATTCTAAGATAAGCACTCCTCAAAATTGCACCAAATCACATTGAACTGACTCAAGAAGAAAAAGTGGAATTTCCCATTCATATTTGGAATCATGTTATCAATGAGTTGAAAATTTGTCTTTTTATGGTGTAAATGAATCCTGCAGATGTGAATTAAATGTACTCTTATTTACTCCTAGTCAACAGGTAACCAGATGTCACTATCCACAATTTACCCTAAGAGATCATTCACAGAGGAGGACCGATCTGAAACCCTTGTGTCCCTTGGCCTGGCGCCTACAGCTGTTCTCATTGCAGTAAATGTGAGTAACATGTATACCTCTTGAATGGATTGATGCTAGTTTTTACATAAATTTATCGAATGTAGGCAAAGTAGTTTAATCTGTTATACCCATTTACCATTTGTCTATTGATTTAGATTGGAGTAGACTTTAGAACTCAAAAGCCAGTTAAAAAAATACATCTGTTCTGTCTCCCGACTCAGATATTTGTTAAACAGTCTTTAGAATATAGTATCTCTCTAGTAACTAATTAATTGATTAATTAGTAGTAATTAATTCTTGCCCACATTAGATGTCTTTATTTCTTTACTAGGACATTATCATATCATCAATGATAAGGTTGAGTTTAACTTTCTTTGGATAATAGCATCTGTTTGAAATTTAAAACTTCTGCATGATTTTACACTAATATTGATGTTTTGGAAATAAGTCCACTTTCTGCTATGTGTTAGTCAGAAACCAAAAACACTTCTGCAGACTAAATCCACACACAGTTCTATAACTACTCTGCAGTTATGGCTAAACACTACTTTGAAGGGAGTTTTGCTGAAGTGATAATTTACTTGATTCTCCAACCCCCACCCCTCCCCCATCCCTCAGTTTGTTTGAATATTACAGGTATAATATCAAAAAACCACTGGTAAATTTTCAGAATTTGGAGTTTGCTTATTGTGTTTTATATAGGTCTGATACTGTTGTTGAAAATGGAATGTCAAACGTAACAAAGTTTCTGATTGCTCTAATTAAAACCAGTTTTCCTTTGTCTCATTTTGTGGAAGTTGTGCAGATCATGGAAGTCTAGGCAGAAATTTCCTTTATTCCTTAAGTCCATACTTTAATTGTTAAACTAAACCTGCACTAACACACAAAAATGTATCAATGAATCCCTGAATTATCAGTCTTTAAATGATAGACACTTATATAACAATATGTATTCAAAAAGAATAAAACATTGAAATGTCTATTTTCTATTTTAGCAACGGTCACAGTCTGCTGCTCCATATCGAGGAAGTGGTGAAGCAGTCAGTGAAGGAGGACTCTTGTCCATGTTAATGGCTCCCTTTATGATGCTCTGGAATGCTATATATTCACTGGTATTTGGAGGATCAGGGGCAACACCACCTGCAGGTCAGGAACCAACACAACAACAGAGAGCCGAACCCCAGCGCTGGAAACAACAACAGGGGGCAAACACGTAAGTCATTTACATCAGAGGATTTACTTCTATTGACCCGTAGATATCTAGCCTATAAGTCAGTTAAAACAGTAGAGGACTAGCATGTAAGTCAGATGTAACGGCAGAGGTCTACCATATTAGTAGAGGACTAGCATGTTAATAAGCTAAATCAATAGAAGTCTAGCTCGAAAATCAGTTAAAACAGCAGAGGTCTAACATGTATATGTAAGTCAGCTACACAAACAGAGGTCTAACATGTATATGTAAGTCAGCTACACAAACAGAGGTCTAACATGTATATGTAAGTCAGATACACAAACAGAGGTCTAACATGTATATGTAAGTCAGCTACACAAACAGAGGTCTAACATGTATATGTAAGTCAGCTACACAAACAGAGGTCTAACATGTATATGTAAGTCAGCTACACAAACAGAGGTCTAACATGTATATGTAAGTCAGCTACACAAACAGAGGTCTAACATGTATATGTAAGTCAGCTACACAAACAGAGGTCTACCATGTAAGTCAGCTACACAAACAGAGGTCTAACATGTAAGTCAGCTACACAAACAGAGGTCTAACATGTAAGTCAGCTACACAAACAGGTCTAACATGTATATGTAAGTCAGCTACACAAACAGAGGTCTACCATGTAAGTCAGCTACACAAACAGAGGTCTAACATGTAAGTCAGCTACATAAACAGAGGTCTAACATGTAAGTCAGCTACACAAACAGAGGTCTAACATGTATATGTAAGTCAGCTACACATACAGAGGTCTACCATGTAAGTCAACTACACAAACAGATGTCTAACATGTATATGTAAGTCAGCTACACAAACAGAGGTCTAACATGTATATGTAAGTCAGCTACACAAACAGAGGTCTAACATGTATATGTAAGTCAGCTACACAAACAGAGGTCTAACATGTATATGTAAGTCAGCTACACAAACAGAGGTCTAACATGTATATGTAAGTCAGCTACACAAACAGAGGTCTAACATGTATATGTAAGTCAGCTACACAAACAGAGGTCTACCATGTAAGTCAGCTACACAAACAGAGGTCTACCATGTAAGTCAGCTACACAAACAGAGGTCTAACATGTAAGTCAGCTACACAAACAGAGGTCTACCATGTAAGTCAGCTACACAAACAGGTCTAACATGTATATGTAAGTCAGCTACACAAACAGAGGTCTACCATGTAAGTCAGCTACACAAACAGAGGTGTAACATGTAAGTCAGCTACATAAACAGAGGTCTAACATGTAAGTCAGCTACACAAACAGAGGTCTAACATGTATATGTAAGTCAGCTACACATACAGAGGTCTACCATGTAAGTCAACTACACAAACAGATGTCTAACATGTAAGTCAGCTACACAAACAGAGGTCTAACATGTAAGTCAGCTACACAAACAGAGGTCTAACATGTAAGTCAGCTACACAAACAGAGGTCTAACATGTATATGTAAGTCAGCTACACAAACAGAGGTCTAACATGTAAGTCAGCTACACAAACAGAGGTCTAACATGTATATGTAAGTCAGCTACACAAACAGAGGTCTACCATGTAAGTCAGCTACACAAACAGATGTCAACATGTAAGTCAGCTACACAAACAGAGGTCTAACATGTAAGTCAGCTGCACAAACAGAGGTCTAACATGTAAGTCAGCTACACAAACAGATGTCTAACATGTATATGTAAGTCAGCTACACAAACAGAGATCAAACATGTTTGTCAGCTACACAAACAGAGGTCTAACAGGTACATGTAAATCAGCTACACAAACAGAGGTCTAACAGGTATATGTAAGTCAGATACACAAACAGAGGTCTAACATGTAAGTGAGCTACACAAACAGAGGTCTAACATGTAAGTCAGCTACACAAACAGAGGTCTAACATGTAAGTCAACTACACAAACAGAGGTCTAACATGTTAGTCAGCTACACAAACAGAGGTCTAACATGTACATGTAAGTCAGCTACACAAACAGACGTCTAACATGTATATGTAAGTCAGCTACACAAATAGAGGTCTAACATGTAAGTCAGCTACACAAACAGAGGTCTAACATGTATATGTAAGTCAGCTACACAAACAGAGGTCTAACATGTAAGTCAGCTACACAAACAGAGGTCTAACATGTAAGTCAGCTACACAAACAGAGGTCTAACATGTAAGTCAGCTACACAAACAGATGTCTAACATGTAAGTCAGCTACACAAACAGAGGTCTAACATGTAAGTCAGCTGCACAAACAGAGGTCTAACATGTAAGTCAGCTACACAAACAGAGGTCTAACATGTATATGTAAGTCAGCTACACAAACAGAGGTCAAACATGTTAGTCAGCTACACAAACAGAGGTCTAACATGTATATGTAAGTCAGTTACACAAACAGAGGTCTAACAGGTATATGTAAGTCAGCTACACAAACAGAGGTCTAACATGTATATGTAAGTCAGCTACACAAACAGAGGTCTAACATGTAAGTCAGCTACACAAACAGAGGTCTAACATGTAAGTCAGCTACACAAACAGAGGTCTAACATGTTAGTCAGCTACACAAACAGAGGTCTAACATGTATATGTAAGTCAGCTACACATACAGAGGTCTACCATGTAAGTCAGCTACACAAACAGAGGTCTAACATGTAAGTCAGCTACACATACAGAGGTCTACCATGTAAGTCAGCTACACAAACAGAGGTCTAACATGTAAGTCAGCTACACAAACAGAGGTCTAACATGTTAGTCAGCTACACAAACAGAGGTCTAACATGTACATGTAAGTCAGCTACACAAACAGAGGTCTAACATGTATATGTAAGTCAGTTACACAAATAGAGGTCTAACATGTAAGTCAGCTACACAAACAGAGGTCTAACATGTATATGTAAGTCAGCTACACAAACAGAGGTCTAACATGTAAGTCAGCTACACAAACAGAGGTCTAACATGTAAGTCAGCTACACAAACAGAGGTCTAACATGTAAGTCAGCTACACAAACAGAGGTCTAACATGTATATGTAAGTCAGCTACACAAACAGAGGTCTAACAAGTACATGTAAGTCAGCTATACAAACAGAGGTCTTACATGTAAGTCAGCTACACAAACAGAGGTCTAACATGTAAGTCAGCTACACAAACAGAGGTCTAACAAGTACATGTAAGTCAGCTACACAAACAGAGGTCTAACAAGTACATGTAAGTCAGCTACACAAACAGAGGTCTAACATGTAAGTCAGCTACACAAACAGAGGTCAAACAGGTACATGTAAGTCAGCTACACATACAGGTCTTGCATGAGAGTCAGCTTCAAATCAGAGATCTGGCCTGTAAGTCAGCTACACAAACAGGTCTAACATATTCAGAGGTCTGTAAGCTTAAAGGTATGTCAAGAACAACAGAAGTCTACTGTAAAGACCAACATAATGTTCTCATGTTTTTTGAGAAAGTAGATGTCCAAAGTGGGGAATGCACACATTAGCAATATGTTCTAGATTTTTCCCCATGATTCCTAAGATTCTGTAAGGCGCCCATCAGTAATTGCTTGCATATGCAGAGTTGGGGCCTAGATTTATGTCAGCTAGTATGCACACAATGTGACATTGTAAGGAAACTTTGACTGGCAGAGATCGTGATTATAGGTAGATAATGACTTGTACCTGTGCAGGCCTAGTGTGAAGATAAGTGTTCATGTATGCAAGATAAATAAATATTGTTTAATTCGATAGGTAACTGAATGATAAAGTGTAAGGTGTCTGATGTTGCAGAAAACAAACAAGAGGTGTACAGACATTAGGCAGTTTTTTCCTTCAGTTGTATTGTACATACGTTTAAACAGAAGGTAATTTTAGTTTCTGGCTGAAAGACACACATATTAAACAGTTGTTCTTGTAAGACAAGAAGATGTATTAATTGCTCATGATTTTACAGGAGTCATCAGAAGAGACAGAACACAAAAGATGGAAATATAACAAGATTTAGAAATATTGAAGATGATGATGATGATGAAAATGCAACTTGGAATGGAAATTCTACACAGCAGATGTGATGACCTTGTGTTGCCATCTGTCCAGATCTAGAGCATCTTTGTTAACTGGGGAAGTGTTATGATACCATTCCGTGAAACGTTTCCATTCATTGCCTTCTGGATGAATTCCATGCTATATTGGTACTTTGGCATGCCTTTTTATGGAAAAAGTCCATGTAAAGAAATCATTAGTGAGATTTGTGTTTCTCCAGAACAGTAAAATGAACTTCGCTAAGTTATTGATATCACAATTTGAAAGTTTTAAGCATACATTCATGCAATAGGGACAGTGCATAAAGTAAACCAGAATTATTTCTTGATCATTATTAGGAAGATTTAAAGGGAGATAACTGTTACTCAAGTGACCAAAATGTTAGGTACAACATTTGTACATGTATAACTTTATTTAAGTTAATTATTATTGGTGTGGAAATGATTTGTAAGAATGAAAGATGGTTTGAGGTAAAGCAGACAGTTTTGAAATACATGTATGTATACAAGATGGCAGTTGATGGTTTATCATTTTGATATTAATAGAAGTTTGTAAATTTCCTAGAGTTTAATTATTGTAGTGTTGTCATAGCTACAATACTGAATTGAATAATTATCATTTATTTGTCTTTCAAATTTTAAATTATGATCACTTAGTGATGATTTCCTTCAATAAAAACATATTTTACGCAAAAATGTCAAAAATTTCAATCCGAGATCATTAATGTTGACCATTTCTCTTTCGGTTTGTGAATTAGAGTAGGTACACCCAGTGGTTCTGATATATATTTCATATCCCAAACATAGACATGGTAACATTAATGAAATAGCAACATAATTTGAACTATTTGCTGATAATAAATGCATTGTGTTTACTTTCAATATAGATCGTTGGAATTAGTGTTCTGTAAAACAATACTGTTTATGAAGAATGACAACTGTTTTTTCCTAAATTTATATCAATGTCTGTGTTATATCTGTTACCCCTGATGTTTACAGTCATGCTTTATAAGAATTCCAGAGTTTTGATGAATATTAGACAAACAGTGTGTGCCATTTTCAGTTTCATCTAATGGAAAACTTGTGAATCCGTCACCATGTAGAATATACAATCAGACTAGAAATGACATCAGCATTATAATTGATTGAAATGTTGGTCTGTGCTCAAGAGCATCAGACTCAATGACATAGTCCTGTAATAATGTCATCCATTATGGTTAACTTAAGATGTCCATTTTACTTGTAAAGCTATATATTGGCAGTATGTTGGTTGTGTATAAAGAGAAAGTAAAATTGGCTGGTAGCTTACATGTACAGTGTGAGATACAAATTGACTTAGATCACCATAGAACCTGTATTTTTCTGAAATGTGATACAGTCAGTTCAGACTTACTAGTATAATATATAATAGTGATATTTGTTGATATGTTGAAGGGACATCACAGTAAAAACATTAATTTTTTTATCGATTATACATGTTTTAAACATTTCCATTTACGTTTCTATGCTATCTCCATAGTCACAGTTGATTTCCAGTGTCCAGCACTGTTGAAACATTAGGAAAGGCAAGACTACAAGTGTAGTGTTCTTATTTATTGGTGCATGTGTTGAGATATGTACCAGAGGGTATGTATCTGGAGGCTGACCCAGTATTAAGATACAGAAAGGGCTTCTATACCATTTCTAACAAGGATGAGTGATCCATAAAATGATGAATGATCAAGGTAGCCAGACTGAACATGTCTAACTTGTCAAACATATATAAGATTAATATAATATTTATATCTTTTATACCTGGTTACTTGACATAATTACATAAAGCAACATGTATTTCTGCAATGTAAGCAAGTAATCTGCCTATAGCCTTTGGGCATAATGACGATAAGGTTTTGGATATAATTTGATATTCATATTTTGCTGAATATTAAATACAAGATTTTACTGATATAAGATCTTTGATATTAATTAAGAAATGATGAAATAGGGTTCAGCTTGACCACTTCATTAATTTGGGAAACCCCTCTCAAATTTACCACTGATAATGGCACACGATAGTTTTGAAAATGAGGCTGTAAACATACCAAGCAGAAACGATTGCGACAGTAGTGACACAGTCAGTAAAATCCTGTTTTTCAGCTACAGATTTTACTATGGGTGTGGTAGATGTTATTTGATAACTCTAGGTCAGTTCAGATTTACGAAATAAGTAATATTAATTGCCAACCATTCAGACGGAAAGCCAATTTTGTTTACAAGCAATCGTGTTTTGTGTGCATGCTAATCATTATGCAAATGTTTACATATTCAGGCAGTTGATCAACAGATAAGGATTTAATTTTCATAATTATTAATTAATCTTTGTATGTGGTGGATATCTCAGTGAAAACCAACTGTCATTGATCATAAAGTGATACATTTTATATATATATATATGCAATGATAAAAAAAATTAGCAAGATAAAAAAAATGAATGAATGTGTTAATATCTTTGGTCACTAAGCATACTTCAAAGAGAGTTAGTAGGCACTAAGCGTACTTCAAAGAGAGTTAGTAGGCACTAAGCGTACTTCAAAGAGAGTTAGTAGGGAATGATTATCATACCTTTGTTTCTACCTGTAACCAGTCGACCAGTTTTTCTTGCTGGTAACTAGCCATGAAGAATTAAAGAACAGGTTTATATTGTTGCTGGTTGTAGGGTCTTACGTTATCAGGTCATAGGGGTCATTTTCTACCCCATAGGTCATATGAAGGTATGGGGGTCAGCAAAATGACTTTGAGTACCAGCACGTGGTGCTGTTTACTTAAGTCATGTTCTCTGCTGTAGGAATGTTTCTTCAGTGGAAATAGGGTTGAAAAATAAATCTATGATATGAAAAATCATGATTATGGAACAATGTGCAACATCTAATTATAGAAATACCATGAATTATTTTGTTATTTTAATTGTATGTGCATTTATTTAAGCCTGATGCAGGTAACAAAATCATGGACTTGCATTTTAGTACCAGTCCTGAGTTCCGTTAGGTAATAATACAGCCAGGGCTTTTGTTTCAATCTGTATGAAAGAGTCTCGATCTGTCAGTATACCGAATGTCACACAAACATTTGGTACTGTATTTGTTTTGGTGTGATGATAAAGGAGTCTTGTATTCTCTAAGTCATTTTTATCATAGCCATACTGAGAAAAATTACTGTTTTACTTCAAGTATGTAGATATGGTATTCCATCATTACTTAAATGCTTTTTAAACTTGAAACAACAACTAAAACGTTTTTTGTTTTTTTAAATAAAATGTAAAGAAAATGACAAAGAAGCCCCACAATTTGTTTTATTGTTACAACAAACTATAACCAACCCAAATTATCCATCACAGTTACTACCATTTTTTACAATTTAGTCTTCATTTTCACAACACATGCATTTACTGTATGGCATCATAACTTGGTAAATAATGGTTTTAATATAAACTTTATAAACTTTATTTATTTTACAACAATTGCGAAACAAGTTATATCAACTTATGCTAATCACTCTTGTTGGCCCGGATGTAAACGCGTGAGGGGTCTTATTGTGGGAGGAAACCGGAGTACCCGGGGAAAACCCACGTGGTCGGGCAGGTAACCCCTTACCTTTTCACTTCCATTCCGGGAATCGAACCCCGGTCGGCTAGGTGAAAGATGAGTGCGTTACCACTGTGCCACCCGACAATCCAAAACTATGGTTTTATCAACACTATTGTAAAGATTACAGTCTGTTCATGTGTTTTCATATTCTATGCTTTAAAAAGTTTCATATTTAAGTAATAGTTTGCTAGCACGCCACATTTAGGTGAAAGATGAGTGCGTTACCACTGTGCCACCCGACAATCCAAAACTATGGTTTTATCAACACTATTGTAAAGATTACAGTCTGTTCATGTGTTTTTATATTCTATGCTTTAAAAAGTTTCATATTTAAGTAATAGTTTGCTAGCACGCCACATTTGTTGTAGGTTTACAGTAGTTTTAGAGAAACATGGTTTCAATCATAGACATGTTTGATAATTTCTTAATAAAACTGGTGTTAATTGATATATATAAGTTCACTTTTTGATGTCCTCTGTTGACATTTTGTTCTGAATAAGATACCGTATAACTCTGTCTTATTGCAATTATCAAGTCATGTAAGTTTTGTTGGTTTTCTGAAAAAAAATCATCACAGGACAATGTAAGTGTTGCCAACTTGCTTATGAAAAGCAAAAACAAAACTTGAATAAAATTTTAATGAAAAATTCCCTTTTTGTGATTTGTATTAAAAAAAAAAATATTTATTTAACAAAAAGAAAAAACAAAAAATTCCGTCACTTGATGATTGACTGCAAATCAATATCAAAACGATGAAAGACCAGCTTTTGTATCGCTATGTATTTCTGTTTGTGTTGTCGGAATGAATATCGGCTGGAATTTTTCAGTGTGTATAAGCGATCAGTGGTCATTTATGTTAGTAATTAGGTCTTTTTTGAGAATAGCAGATTAATCAGAAAGGAGGTAACATTAATTTGTGTTGTCACATAAATTACTGTAACCGTCACACGGTGGCTACGAGATGGATTAAATGAAAACTCCAATATGTTAAGCCCTCCGTAAGCAAAGTTATGAGAAACAGTGTAAATATATCCCACTTATATGAGTCATGCTCGAAAGCACTTGAGGACACATTGAAAAAAGGAAGGATGTCATTGAAAACATAGCATAAACGTTTAAATCGACATTTTTGTAAATCGCGAATAATATTAATTTCCTAGATGATATACAAATAGGGACGTATAATCGGTAATTTGTCCATGATACAAATTAGCAAAGAATATAGTTTGACACGGACAAAATGTTGATACAAACAATCTAGTCTACGGAATATGTAATTGGATTATACGTCCCTGTTCAATTTTATAATTATTTAAATTTATACCAGTTTTGCAAACGCTTGGTCAGAAAAGAATTTTCCGGAAACATAAACCGAGTGTGTTTTGTAAATTGAAAGATCCTTAATTAATTTTGAGATTTACTTCATGTGTTTTATAATCGGATATTATGAAAGGATAAAAACAATACATTTCTTGGGAAATGTTGGCGACATTTTCTTTTACCAAATATCTATTGTCTTTGCTACTGTCACGTTTTCTCTCTGAAGTATGAACACGATCCTATTACGTATAAAATCGCATTTGTTTTAGGAGTCATTAATATTGATCGACGTCTGTCTGTATAAATTCACTGGAAGGTCACCATGCGTGAGACCTTTTGCTTTCAACTTTAAACGAACAACGTTTCCCTCACTACACGTGTCACGTGGGAAGTCATTGGAATTACCAAGGGAGACGAGGTCGTGGATTTTGAGTGGTTTCGGTCACCAGCTTATTAATGACGGCATATAAAAATAAAATAGAAGAGGAAATTATTTTCCTATCTCGCCTTTCCCTACCCGGAAAATTGTTCCGGGAATGATAAATTAAACCAGACATATTCTGCAAAGTATAAAAGGACATGTGTGGTTTCGTTAAAAAAAAAAGACATAACGAACAGAATTTTCCACGGAAAAATAGGTTTGACTGCTCATTGCCATAGGACCCACTTGTCCTTGGAGAAAACAGTTGATCGCACAGAAAATATCAAGGAAATGATTTTGCGATTCTTGCAATGAGCAAAACATCAAGCTACAGAAGTGTTTTTTTTTTTAAAAGAAATCTTACACTGGTAGATTTGTTTTGGGAGACCGCGCGTTGACAGTCCGGATAGAAGCAAGGCAGTGAAAACGTCTGTTCTGACCACCATTATCGTTTAATAGCATCCACTTAAATTTACCAATTACCACCAGACGATGCGCAATTTCAGAACATCTATATCAAATCATGGACACTTGTGGAACAAGGCGATGCTTATTAGTGATTCCGCTTGTGTTAACGAGATTCAACCCCTATGACCCGTTCGTTTTGAAAGACAGACAATATAGCCTGCATACTAAGTATGAGTAACGGACAACAACATAACACATTTTCAATACGCCAGTCAAATGTTTTGACGGGGCGTGTTACATGTCTCGATAACGGTATCTCTATTGTACGACACGAAGGGGACATCTATCTATAGGCCTAGTTCGGTGGGCGTAACTTTTGGTATTTATTTCTTCATTGACAGTTCGACGTAGTAACTGATTATGATAAAATGGGAGATATTCAACTTCGAAAACTCACAAAATTGATTGCTGAAAAGGATGGAAGCGATCAGCGACGTACTAGTGATTGAAAGGAACTGAAACGACAACAACTGCCAACGTACTTCCTGGAAGCAAATGCCTTCCAAACGAAGTAGAGAAAATTTCCATTTAATGGATATAACTTTATGCAAAACGGGATATGGATGAGGCTAGCATAAAAAGACAAAATGGTACTCACTATAGGAAAAAGAACAAAAGAGAGTTAACGTTATTGCAGACAAGAATCGATATATCAGGATTCGAGTTACTATTGACGAGTGAAAATATTCACTCATATGTAAGTATTTCCTGTTACACACGTGACACTATGAATATTTCACAAGATATGCCATTTCGAATATAATGAAGAGGAAATACTCCGAATATATTTAAAAAGGAGTAATTAAGCTGTGCACCAAGATCAGAAATATTTTTGGATTATCTGGCAGTTGTTACGACTGACATAATAACTAAAGAAAATGAATCGAATGCTGATGCAGGTCTATATGTGACCCTTACATTGCGCGAATGGTGTGGTACCAATGACTCTAATAAAGTTGTCTTACGCGATGTCCAATGACAACTTGCACGACCTTGAAAGGATTCCCTTGAATGTCTTCGGTCTTTTCTTCCAAAAACGGCTATGTGCTAATGATGGTTAGCAAACCAACAGGCTTTCGAGAGTACTGGAGAGTACTTGAAAGTAATCAGTTACTCTGTGGAGATACAAGCAACGCATGGACTGTTAAAACAGTTTCTTTAAAGCAATTTGCGAAGCTTACACAAAAGCCCTTCATATAACGTTTAATGAGATTTGAAGATAAACCGAAAATGTACAATATGTGTGAAAGCGAACAGATCGAAGTTCGTTTGAGGCTTATTTCTAACTTAAACCATGGACCTCATTTACATTGATATAGAACCCATTCATTCTTAACGATAACAATAATAATAATATACATTTTTTTTAATTTTAAAAAGTTCACTAACTTTGTCTCGGACAATAAGCTTTAATCCATCATTGTGCATTTTATCATTGAAACTTTTGAAACTTCTACGCCTGCTCAACCTCTTTGCGGTCTACTAAATCAATGTTGTTCACTACATATAACACAGCCAAAGGGAACAACATGGCTGGGAGTGTGTTTAACTTTAGTTGTGTTATATGTGATGAATTACATTGACATGGTAAAGCGCACAGATGATTTTGCCTGCTTAGTTCACTTCTGTAAATGTATATTTAATTTGTCCGACGACAGAGAAGCAGGACATTCCTTCTTTCCCAATCTACTTTTTTTCAACAAATGGATGTGAATGATACAAACGGGGTTTAAGTGACGTTTTATAATTGCAACAAAATATTTTCGAAGAAACAAGAAGGTTGGATGTGGTCAAAATATGGCAAAATGTTTTTTCTTCACTTGAAAGTTGGTCTTAAATTAATTGAAATCTCTTGGCGAAAAGATGGAATTACCAATAGAGCAGGATGTTATGTTCAAAGAAATATGAGCTTCTGCCATTTGAATATTTTAATTAAGTGTGCACTATATATTGACATAATACTCCAAAATGGAAATGTCTCTTTCACCACCCACGCATACAATTCGTGTGCTAAATGTTTCATGAACCAAAGTGTATTTGAATTAAAATCGGGGAGTAGCTCCGTCATCTGCAAAATAGTTAAAGTGTTTTGTCAAAATATGAATAACCTCCCAATACAGACACTAGAGAGCTCCACATGAATACAGACAGCATGTCCCTTTCTTGGAATGTACGGAAATGGCATCATGTGATTAATGTGATAATGCAATGCGATACATGCATATGGTTTTCGTGGCGAATTTTATTTCAGCTGCCACTCTACACACTTTTCTGTTCTCGAAATAAATTGGGTTTAACTTATTCGTTGAATATGTTTTCGTTTTGAACATGTGAAGTAATAATTAAACTTGTTATTTTGAAACAGGACTGTCTGCTAGCAGACTTGTTTTTCATTGTTATCGACATCAGGACAATAATGAAACTAAACAATCTCGAGTTACCTTAAGATGTCTTAAAAGCGACCGTCAAATAATTGAAACACTTACAAGACAGCCACATGTAGCATAGAGTCACAGGTAACATGTCCGCTCGAAGTACAAAAAAGAACAATGGATGACATCACAAATACGTTATACGATTGATTAATACAACCGAACACTAATGCGTCATGTTACGTATTTCATAGAAAAATCAGGAGTATTTGAAAAGACATCGCCTACAATTAGCTTGTAAATTGAAATTTGCAATTAACCACCAGACAGGATGCAAACCCATTTAGCTCAAACTTGGCAAGGTAGTAAACTGAAATAAAAACTGATGTGCAGAGTATAAAGCCTCCTCTGGGAAAAGGCATCAAACAAAAAAAATGAATATGACTCATTGGTTAAGGACTTGGAAGGTGAAAAGAGAGAGAGAGAGAAGTACCAGTAACGTATATGCTCCGTCCGAGTAGGAATCCTACAGACCAAGTGTGATAAACAAAGCCTTGTAGATACCGAGATCTAGACATATGATTGTATGACAAGTAGAGGCTGCTACAACACCTCTAACTGAATTTATCTAGGACTCAAGCTTAAATGCCATTGCTGATTTAAGTCTAGTTTCATGTTTGGCTTTCTCTAGACTGTTGCCTCCAGGCTCCGGCGGTAGGAAAAGTTGAATTTTTATGGGTGTTAATATTAACATTACGTTTCCCCCCAAACGATCTTTTGGTTACAAGTGTTATAATGTCATTTATTCCGGAGGTCTTCTCGTCGTGTTTTATGCTTTTAAAAGCCACGTGCCTACACCAGGGGTTTAAAAGATATTAACCAGTATGACACGTTTTCTTTAAAAAGAAATATTAACAGAAAGTCACTCGGTGTGATATAACTTCTCCATAGTTAGCACATTAACAACATAGCTTCACCATCCGTTAATACAGTGTTAACATGATGTTAGCGTTGACGAGGAAACTCGTGGCAGAGCAATAAGCTGTTGCTCTTATGATCTAACATC